CTCTCTCTCTCTCTCTCTCTCTCTCTCTCTCTCTCTCTCTCTCTCACACACACACACACACACACACACACACACACACACACACACACAGACCCAGTCGATCAATCACCCCCCTTCCCCGTTGCTGCGGCGGTCCTTCTCCCACTTGTGTATATTAAAACGCATGCATAAGCATAAGTAAAAGGCAATTTAGTGACAAAGACAGAATTGCATGACAACACGACAATATCACAGTTTTCGTATGTTTCGTGATGTAGAGGTTTCAAGTTCAAACCCTTTGTTTCAGTTCTGGATCTATTTGTCTGGGTGGAAAGGAGTTGTTATGGTGAAAAAGTTGGCATGTAGAAGAAGCGAAAAAGTTGGCATGTAGAAGAAACTCAGGTCAACATCTACTCCTGATCGGCACTCACCCTAACGATTTCCAGACACCGCTATGGAATGCTACAGAAGAAGAGCTAATGAGGTGAGGAACACCCCCAACTGGAAAGATCAAGGTTTGGTCATTAGAAGTTGGAATGTAAATGGATTAGGTAACATATTGGAAAAAGAAGACAAATGGAATTACTTATTATCCGGACTGTCACAGGGTAGCAGGAAAATAGTAGACATAATCCTAATCCAAGAAACTCACCTCACCTTCTCATCAGACCACAACAGAATCCGAGCTGCCATAGCAAGGAAATTAGGCGGCCTAAAGGACGAAATATGGTCAGCAGACCCAGCAACGAGCTCCAAAGGGACGGCTATTCTCATACCCAAGCTTTCACGCCTCTATAAAGCAGGCACAGTCCTAGACAAGAGAGCCGATCAAGCTGACGGAAGATGGTGTTTGGTTCACCTTCAATGGAAGGAAGAAGACTTCATTCTCATCAACATCTATGCACCGAACTCTCCCGCGGAGAGGAGAATCTTCTTAAGACACATCGGAGACCTGATCCCACTGCTGTCACCATGTATTGTAGCAGGAGACTGGAACGCCACAATAAATCCACTTTTCGATCGTATATCTCGTTCATCCAGCCCCAGTAACTCGTCTGAAGCACTACCAATCCAAGAGCTAATGATGGACCATAACCTGGTGGACCCTCTTAGAATCTTACACCCAGGTTCCAAAACCTTCACTCTAGTTAAAAAAAAATCATGCGAGCCACACTGCCTTTTCACGTATCGACTACTTTCTGATATCAGACAACTTAATGGGAGCAGTCAAGGAAGCTGAAACACTACCCCTAGCACCCTATCCAGGATTGGACCACAAACCAATTGAACTAACCATCTGCTTTGACCAACTGGTAAGAAAGGGATCCAGCTTCCATAAACTCAACAACTCCCTGTTGCTGAGCCAAACATTCCAAAAGTAAGTCTGTGACTACTGGAAAGGTCAAAGGTCATCACGAGTGAGGAATGACACACAATGGGATTGGTTCCAAAAGAGTTATACGAATCTTTCAGACACAGTCGCTAAAGTATCAAGAAAGCTTGCGTCCATAAGGGAATAAAGAAAACAATCACTGGAGTGTGCATTGAAAATAGCAGAAATAAATCTCACAAATAACCCCTCCTCCCCACTCTACAACGAGATATTCAAGAAAGCACGAGAAGAATTGGCTATGTGGAAGTGGTGGGAGTTGAAAGGTCTACAAGTAAGAGCAAGAATGTGTGAATACGAGCTCAGCGACTCTATGACCAAACACTTCTTCGCTCTAATCAAGGCAAACTCGAGAGCCAGCACAATAGAATGTCTGAGATCACCCTCACCTCCTGAGACTGTGAGATCGGACAGCGAAGGAATGTTAGAGATAGCCAACAACTTCTATAAAAACCTCTACCAATCCAAGACAGAGTGCCCCGTCCCCGCCAACATCAGTGATGCAAGAAGTAAAATGTTATCGTACCTGGAACGAACAATATCAACAGAACAGGCTGACTCGCTCGACGCGCCAATTACGCTGGAGGAACTTCACGGGGCGCTACTGAGCATGAACAACAAGAAGTCTCCAGGAATAGACGGATTAACAAAGGAATTCTGGGAAAAGTTATGGCCCTTACTGGGGAGTGATTTGTTTAATTTTTATAACGACTGCTGGACGAAAGGTGGTTTAGGTGAACTATTCAGTAGCAGCGTGGTCACTCTACTATATAAAAAGGGCGAAAGAGAGGACATCAAGAACTACAGACCCATCTCACTTTTATCTCTCCCCTACAAAATATTGSCCAAGACCTTAGCAAATCGGATCACCAAGATTACTAATGATTGCTTCCATATAGACCAAACAGGATTCATTTCTGGTCGATACATCCTAGATAACGTGATGACTCTCAATGWGWCAGTRAGGAAAATCAGGGAAAGGAAAATAAACGCCGCCATTCTTTTCTTTGACTTTGAAAAAGCTTACGACCAAGTCAACTGGGACTTCATGGAAGCAAGTATGGAAAAAATGGGAGTCGGACCAAACTTTAGGAAATGGGTCAGGATCCTGTACAGAGATGCTATAGGCTGTGTACAAGTTAGCGGACTACTTTCCGACTGCTACCCGATCTCGCGTTCAGTCCGATAAGGTGACCCACTAGCCCCCTCAATATTCTTATTTGTAATGGAAGCTATTGCTTCCTTCCTACGTAAGGACCCTTCAATTCAAAGATTAGCCAGCACAAAGGTAGGTACAGCTCACCAACTGGACTTTCCGGCTGCAATCATGTTTGCTGATGACCTAACAGTATTAATCAGGGCATCGGATTCTTCCTTCCAATCACTAGTCAAAGCAATGGAAGCATTCAGACTAGCTTCAGAGATGAAGATCAACTGGGGGAAAACGATTGGCTGGTGGCTTTCAGAGGAGGAACCCCTCTCTCTTCAAGGAGAACAAGCTCCCATGACATGGCAAACGCCAGACAACACGACCCGTTACCTAGGGATCTTAATGACGAAGGAAGGTTTGGTGCCACAAATGGGCCCCTCGCTACTGACCAACCAGATAAACAAAATGGGAAGATGGAGTAGTACTTTCTCTTCCATTATAGGCCAAGCTTTAATCCTCAATACATCGATCTTCTCAATGATGTGGTATATCGCCTCCATCTGGACAGTACCTGACATTTCTGTCCAAGAGCTAAACAGAAAAGCCAGGGTGTTTCTCTGGACAGGAGACCCCAACAAAGAAAAGTGCATACCCAAAATAGCCTGGCACTTTGTCACAAGACCTCCAAGCAAGGGAGGCCTAGGAATCTTAGATCCTGGAACAAAAACGAAGGCTCTGCAAATCAAATGGATCATCAAATTACTGATGTATCCGGGAAGCGCTTGGAACAAATTAGCTTTAGACAGTATCAGATCAATAGCCCCAGTGCCCTCTCCGAACGACATGTCCGGCCTATATTRGRTCATGAACAAAGAATGGAAGTTAACGACAGGAAGAAGGAATCGAACAAGAAACAATAGACAAGAAGTCCTCCGACCACCAACACCTTATTGGCCGGCACTCCTTCAGTCATGGAGAAAGATAATTCCGGGCATATCCAACAGACCCAGATCTAAGGATGAAGTACTAAGGCAACCGCTCTTTGGGAATGAATGGCTAACGAATGAAGCAAACAACCCTCTCTTCCTGGATCAAAAATGGCTATCCTGGATCAAAAATGGCATATGGAAGATTGATCACATAAGGAACGAAGACAGAAAAGAATGGATATCTGAACAAGAAATCAGCATCAAACTTAAAGGATGTCACAGAAGAGGAACCAACCTCCAATATCTCCTCAGTTGCATCCCACAGGAATGGAAGGATATCTTACTTAAAGATGAAGGGTGGAAACCAGGGGAGTGGGGTCTTATGATCCAAGACATAACCCCTTCCAGAGCCTATCAATTTTCCCACAGACAACAAGGCGCTCACACCATGGCCACCTTCTTCTCCTTCCCAATCTGCGGCTCCAACAACAACATGCCTACCATCGCAAACTGC